GCTTTTTTCTTTTTGCTTATGTGGTGCTGAGGAATCGAACCCAGGGCCTCATGCATGCAAGGCAAGCGCTCTACCACTGAGCCACCTTCCCAGCCCCAGAGGAGAACTTCTTGAGATAGAAAAATACTGAGCTGTGTAGAAGAGTGCTAGACTTTCAAATGAGGAAAAAAATAAACCCATAAGGGGCATAGCAGAGGGGTATGGAGATAGTAGGGGGGAAGGGGAAAGAGGAGCGATTTCGCTGAAGTAATAGCAGACAGGTGAAGGTGGAGGTGGTTAGTGGGCTCGTTAGTGGTTGGTTGGCTTAGTTGGTTGACTGGCTGGTTAGCAGTTAGTTGGGCATGGGAAAGAAGAGACCAAATGAGAGTGTACACATACACAATGAAAGAGCCGGGCGCCAGGGGCTCGCGCCTGTCATCCCAGCCACTCAGGAGGCTGAGATCTGAGGACTGCGGTTCCAAGCCAGCCAGGGCAGGAAAGTCTGTGAGACTCTTCTCTCCACCAAACCACCAAAAAGCCGGAAGTGGAGCTGTGGCTCAAGTGGTAGAGCGCCTGCCTTGAGCAACATGTTCAGGAACTGCCCCCAAGCCCTAAATTCAGCCCCAGGATGAGCACAAAACAAAGGAATTAATAGTCCAGAAAGCCCAGCAGGGCTGTTGAAGGGGTGGGGTGAAGAACAAGCTGTATTTGATCCTTCCCCCGAGTCATTTATCAGCAAGCAACCTGGAACAGGGCCAGGGCCAGCCCTGCTCCGTGCACTTTCTGATCTGTAGGAGGGGAAAGTAATGATACCTTGCTCTCAGGCTTAACTCTGGGATCAGATGACACCTGTTGTGCGGTCTAGTTGAAAGGATATTCAGAACTGGGAGAGGAGTCCACATGTGGATAAACCTCATCAGTCTTAGAAAATAAAAATAAGTGTATGGCAATAGTTGTATTTCTTTGTGGTGCAAGGTGGCTGTTTTCACATAAGATTTGTACTGTGCTACTCAGCATCTGTAAGTCTTTTTTTTTTCCTTTAATTTTATTGTCCCAGGGCCTTGTGCTCTTCTATTTTGCTCAAGCCTGGTGCTCTACCACTTGAGCCACGCCTCCACATCAGGCTTTTTGGTGGCTAGTTGGAAATAAGAGTCTCATCTTACCTACCCATCCTGGGCAGAAAGGTTTGAACTTTAATCCTTAGATCTCGGTCTCCTGAGTAGCTAGGATTGCAGGCACGAGCCATTTAAAAAATATATATATATTTAGTAAGACCTCTTGTCAGTATTGAATTGGTCTCACTTCAATGTCATCTGAGCAGACACAAACCCAGGACAGCAGTGATTTGATGTTCTTTTACAGATACAAAGCTCAAGCAAACTGGTAACAGGAAGAGATGAATGTTTAGAGAGAAAAGAGCAGCTCACCCAGGAATGCTCCAGTTAAGAGGAAAGGAAAAAACACAGGCTATGAAATTAAAATGAAAGCTCGCTTGCTCATCTCTCTTCTTGTGAACCCCGAAACCTTAGTTCTATCATATGAAGCATGCGTCCTGACGAAGCAGGATTGGAAGCCGGATTGTGAGGTTCACTCACCCTCAGCCTTACATGTCTCTGGGCGGTGTTCTGTTTTCCTCTCCTCTCTAGCACAGATGTGCGGGGAATGTCTTGTGTAAATGAGATTAGCTGCGGCCTTGGGGAGGGCTGGGGAAGGGGGAAGCGGTTGCACACATTCCCAGTCAATTACACATACAATTAAACGCTGTGTTCTTGAAACGTTTTGATTCTTTCCATCACCTAGAGAGCATCGTGGTGCAAGCGACTTTCTTCACTGAACTGTGTGGCGGGAATCAACTATATTGCTGTAGTTTTTTTTTTTTTTTCTCTTGCAAGAAAAAATGCTTCTCCTTAGGATGTTGGTCCTCCTGGGGCTTGAACTCAGGGCCTGGGTGCTGTCTCTGACTTTGTTGTTGTTGTTCAAGGCTAGCTAGTGCTCCATGACTTGAGCCACCCACGCCACTTGTGGCCTTTTGATGCTTAATTGAAGAGTCCCACAGACTTTTCTTACCCAGGCTGGCCTTATACCACGATCCTCAGACCTCAGCCTCCTGAGTAGCTAGGATTAGAGCCACTGGCACCCCAGCGGGAACTACTTAATTAGGCCAGCCATTTGGGATTCTTTAGACCCCGGAGTGATACAGCAGAGCAGGAGAACAGGGATCTCTTCTGAGTTTTTCTGAGCATGCAGGAGCATTCTTCATGTTTAGACAAACGCAAGCAGCTTGCTAAACAAAGCCTGGCCTTTTCTATGTTGCCCGTAGCACAGAGGAGCAGCCCTTCCTCAGCCTCCCGGAGAGCACCTGTGCGGGAGGGCGCTGCCCGGGGCTGGGGGCTGTAGCTGGCCTAGCATAGTGCAACATCCTGGGTTCGATCCTCCCGGTACCAAAAATCCAACCCCGTGAAGAGCAAACGACGTCCCTTCCAAACCAAGGCCAGACTTACAGCGAACAGGCCCAGGGCTGGCTTTTACAAATTTGCCATTTTCCTTTTATATAAATCAGACCATAACCACTGGAGAAACAAGTGTAGAAAAAAATGTGTGAAATTAATCTTGTGCCAGATATGTACGCTAGTCCCGACCAAGAGGGGACCATATACTAGGAAATACGTTGACTTACATTCATGTTTATGATGCTGATGTATGCAAACCTGTTAAGTAACTACGGATCTTCCTGATGGTACCGCAGTTACCTTCAACAGAGCCAGGGCCTTTTGGAATAAAGGAATAAGAAATCACTGCTTTAGACTTATAAATCCCATCACAGGAGTTCACGGACAATGGTCGTACCCTGATACTCGGCGTAAAACGGGAATAAAATAATGATCGCTCTGTTCCAAGAAAAGAGTCTCAGATTTGTCTGCTGGGGACGGCTCAGAACTGTGATTCTCAGATCTCAGCCTCCCGAGGAGCTGGGATTATAGGTGTGAGTTACAGGGACCCTGGTGGGGAATAATTCTTGAAAGGATCTGTGTCATTTATTAGGGGAGGGGGCACGGTACATATTCTGATTAAATAGTCTGACTTTCCACATTTGGAAACCTACTTCATTGGGAAGGAAAAGCTCCAAACGGAGACACTGTAAACTGAAGAGAGAATGGAACATTTAGCTGGGTAAAATAATTGTGATGTCGACATCTCACGGGAGGGGAAAACGGTCACACGTCCGGTGTGGAGGTGTCACCCGCAAACCAGCCGATCGGTCGGGCCGGCTGACATCAGAGGACCCCCCCCCCCACTCCCCCTGGAAGAGAGCCAACGGACGGCAGGCGTACGGTTTTGGTCAAGTGATCAAACCAAGTCTGTGCAGAAATTAACGTTTTCTTTTTTATTATATATCATATAATGTAGTAGTAAAGTTTGAAGTGCATGAATAAAAAGTTAGTGAAATTAGAGGAAGAACAATCTATAATAGCAGTAATTAGGTTGCATTCCCTGTGTGTCTCAAAGAAACAAAACCGGAAAAAAAAAAAAAAGAGTTTTCAACTCATTTTGGCCTAAAACTTAGTATAGTTATGTTCAGGTCCCCAAGATTCTGACATCAGAACTCGGGCAACGCTGGTTAGAACCATAGGGGCTTTACAATAAAAGCTAAAATATTGACCATATGATGGCAAAAAGTCTTAGTTTGTGGTTAACGTATTCTCTTCTAGCTACTCTCTGATGAAGTTGGTGGTGCCGTGGAAGAGGACCTCCGCCGTCTGGAGGAGGACCGGGAGCGCTCCGCCCCATAGGCCAGCCGTTTGTCATAGCCGTCCATCTGGGCCTCCAGGAAATCCCGCTGCTGCTGGTGCAGGGTGTGGCTGATCAGGCCCGGGAGGGCGTGGATGCTGCCGATCAGAGTCTCCAGCTTCGTCTCCAGGGTGAGGATCCGCTTCTCGAAGTCCTCGCTCCTCTCGTTCAAGTCGGAGATCATATCGTACATGATGTTCTGAGTCTGGAAGGGGGGAGACGGGAGGGGGGGGGCGGTGTGGAAAGAGAGCGTGCTGGGCGGCCCAGCTCCCACCCCGGCTCGCCTCTCTGGTTGGTGGCAGCTCCATGAACGAATGAGCTGCGTGGGGAGCAAATTCTAGAAGGTTCCATGCTGGGGCTTAGAGCCGGTAAGACTGCAGGTACTCACCTGGTTCCCTGTTGGATGGCCTGGGGACATTAGGCCCAGGGATTTTAGGAATTGGAACAATTATAGCAAAGATGTCCATTTCTGTGTTTATGAGTGAGTTTTTTTCTTTTTGCCAGTCGTGGGGCTTGAACTCTGGGCCTGGACGCTGTCCTTCAGCTCTTCAGCTCAAGGCGAGCGCTCTACCACTTGAGCCACAGCACCACTTCCATAGAGGTGAGTTTTAATGGTTGTTATATAAGTAAGCACGCCAAATTTGTTGGCTATGTGTACTATTACTAGGGCAGTGCCTTTGTGTGTGTGTGTGTGCGCGTGCGAGCTAGGACTCAAAACTCAGGCTTGAATTCTCACTTGCCTTTTTGCTGTTGATGCTGTTAGCGAAGTCAAGAGTCTCATGGCTTTTTCTGCCCTGTGTGGCTTTGAATCACAATCCTCAGGACTCTACCTCTTGGGTAGCAGCCAGGGCTACAGGTGTGAGCCACGATTACAGGTGTGAGCTACCAGCACCTGGAGTGGCTCTTTTTTATAATGTCAATTTCCCACTGTTCTCAGTTTGCTTCGCGTTATTTTTTTACTGATGACTATTTCCAGCCATGAGCCTTGAAGACACACACACACCCAAGACACAGGTCTGCTGTATCCCTGTAAGACTGGAGAATTCCAGAACTCTCCTGTTGGATGCAGGCGTCGTACAGTGTGCGTCCAGTTCACGGCAGTCTGGAGAGCATTTAAGCAGGGGGGGGGTTGGCTCATGGAGAAGAGATGAGAGAAGGAGAAGGTACATGGCAGCCGGGCCCCGCGTGCATGCATACATGCATGCGTGCATCTCAGTGGATCTGTCCACCAGCGCGTGCACCCGGGGGCATGGCCAGTGCCCGGCGGTCACGGGCAGCCGACACAGGCTGGACTTACCTTGGCCAGGTCCACCAGGGTGTTGGCCTGGTCATTCAGCTTCCGCTGCTCCATCTTGACACTTCTCAATCTAGAAGACAGAACCCCAAGTTACGCACGCCGTCTCCCCCCACCCCGCAGCGGCCGTCTCGTGGTTGACCAAACAGCATGCACCAAACCGGCAAGAGCAAGGTACTGCATGGAGAATGCTTTCACTCTTTGGGGCGGGGTGGGGCGTCCATACCGGGCGTATGTATCTGGTACAATGAGGAGCATGCTTTCCCAACACCGCAAAAAAAAAAAAAAAAAAAAGAAAGAAAAGAGAGCCAGAGATGAGATGTCCCGGGGACAGAGCTGGTTACCGGACGTTGAATTCAGAAAGGATCATAAGGGGGAGTGGGGAAGGAGAAGGGGGGGGGGGTTTCACCATATGAGAAGAAGCCAGAACATTCCTTAAAGCCCCGGCGTCATGACAAATAGACATAGGAAGAGAGTTTGCGAGCAATGGGGCCTTGTCACGCGGAGCGACGCCGCCTTCCTATGCCTATGTGAGCGGCCGCGGGCGCCCCGTGGCGTCTGAGATGAGTCGGGTTAGCACTGGGGCCCGATGAGCGGTGACAGGCGGGATTCTCATTAGCAGAAACCAAACTTTTATTCAACCAGCAGCCAAGGTAGCTCAAAACGCATCGTCCTGTCTCCTAGTTCTCCATCGGTTCCTCGGGGACCTTTTCTTTCTTTTTTAACTCTTAAAACTGATTTTGATAAAGGAGGAGAAACTCCCTTTTTTTAAAAAAAAATTAGAGAGATAAAAGTCAGAACACACGTCTGACACAGCGTGTTTGTCAGAGGGCTTTTTGATTACTTACAATATCATTGTACACACCCAAAAAAAGCCACCGTTTTTTTTTTTGAAGTATTTCCAAATGAGAACTCTTATTTTTTTAGCATATTTATGTCCTAAGAACCAAAGATTTTTTTTTCCCAAGATAAAGATAGGTTTTTTTTTTTCTTTCTGTAAATCAACAATTTAAAGACTTCAAAGGACAGGTTTTCCTAGGCTACTTAATGGAAAAGGTTAAAAAAAGGAAAAGAAAGGGAAATCCATGCTAACCTTCCTTGGCCTTGGTGACAAAAGCCATTTTTAGAAAGTCAGCGTTGTTAACGTCAGACAATATGCTTTGTTGTTTTAAACTATTGTTAGTTTAAATGGCTCAGAATCGTCTATAACTAACTAGGTTATAACTCACAGGGCAAGATTTTACTGCCAGGAGACTCTGTCACGCGTGTTTGTGATCAGTGGTCCCACAACCACTCCCCCCTCGAGGACGTTGGTCCGTTGGGCCACGCAGAGTTGAACTGACTCCACCTTCAACTGCCCGGAGGCGTTTCGGTTCACAGCTCAGCCTGGTGACTGCTCACGACCCCTCAGCGTGACCTGGCAGGCTGGGCCGGGTCCTCGTCTAAACGAAATGTGCCAGCAGGACCCTAACGCTCACATCCTGTTGAGAAAAATCCCCAGTGTCCTTAGAAGGGTGACGTCTGTCCCTTGTACAACACGGGCCACAAAGAACTCTCTAGACGTTTGTGGGTCACCCCAGAGAGGGGAGAATGTGGGGTTCCACGTCCAGCTGGAGCTCTGGCTTTCTCTTGGGTGGAAGGGTGTGTGTGTGTGCGTGCGCGCGCACGCGTGTTAGGCAGTGCTCCTGGGGGCTGGATGTATGGCGGCAGAGCTGCTCTCCAGGACTTGAAGGATCACTCTTAGAGCAGTAAGACAAGCAATACTGGAGGCAGTGGAAGGAGCTTCTCCAGGCCTTTATTATGGCCAGGACAGGGCATGGGCCGGTCTCACCCTGCTCCTCCCCTGTCTTTATCTCTGGGCCCAGCAGAATCTCCGTCCAGGTTTCCACAGACGGGCAGCTTCCCAGGCAGGGGCTAGCTCAAAATAACCAGTGTTTTCACTGCTACGGAAGCCACTTCTACCTTTCTCGGCGGTGAATGTTTTTGTTTTGGGTGGGGGTTTGTATCAAGTCTGTGTGGAAAATTTAACGAATAATTAAAGCGTTATTTAGGGCTCTGGGGCCAGATGTTTCCAGCAAGAGGTGAGTGTGAAGACTTGAGCTCTGGCAATCGGGAGAGGTGGCTGAGGTTCTGCGAGTTGAAATGGATATGTTCAAATGGTGTGTGTGTGTGTACACTCCTCGGGTGACTCAACTGTGTCTGACAGTAGAATTTTGCCCCTTTTATCCGCTCCGAATGCGGTCCTGCGCATAACCCTAACTGGAGCTCCTCCGTGTTCCTGGGACATGTATCATTTTTTGTCCTGCACAGCCTGAGATGGGGGACCGTAGATGGACACGTCCATCTGAGCTGCCGGAATAAAAGGTAACATGCAGAGAGGTGCATATTACTCTCTTCCCACACCCCACACACGAAAAGAAGAAGAAACGTATGCTGATTTCTTCCTTGTGAACTTCACTTATCAAAGGAAAATAGCATGGGTGGTTTTTTGTTTTTGTTTTGGATCACATTTCCAATAGCAGCAACCAGACGACTAAAATTCACAAAGAAAGGATCCGTTTTTTGGCAGGTGCATGCAGCCAGTGGAAAAGTCTGCAAATGTAGAGAGGCACGGCTCACGCAACTTACTTCCGAGCTCTATTTTCATTTTGTTGGAAAAAAAAAAGACAGAAGAAAAAAGAAACTGTAAAATATTCTGGAATGGAAAAAGAAAAATCACAGAGGCGCGTCAGTCTGGCACAGGGGGCTCGATTCATTCGACGGAAGACCTCGTGACCAAGGGACACCCTGTGGGTGGACCTCTCCGTCCTTGGCCGGTGAGTGGGGGCTGTCCAGCGAGAGTGCTCGCCGTTCCTCCCGACCCGGACAGACGTGAGACAGGGGAACGAACCCCAGGCCAACCCGGCCTCGGGGTGCTCGGGGAAGCAACTGAAATCATTTTTTTTTTCTAAAACAATATAGTGACCAGAAGGCCAATGTGCTCAATAAATCGGGGCATCCTAGTGTTTGAGGGGGGGGGCCTCACGTGTTCCCCAGAGCCGCTGTATAAAGGACCACGTTGGATTTCTTGGCTCTGAGACAAGTTGGTGTTGGCAGGTGGGTCTACCATACATGACATGGAAGAAACAAGGATGGAAAGGTAGAGGAAGAGCTCACGTGGTGGCACCAAGCGACACAATTCAAACAGGCTCACTGCTGGGAAGAGGACTCGAGCAGATAGAGAGGGCAGCAAGGACGGGAGGGAGGGAGAGAGCTGAGCCTCAGGGCAGGGAGACAGCAGCGGCCAGGCTCTCAGGGAGAGATGGGGGCTCTCCCGGGAAACGCCAGCTAATGAGTTTGGAACGTCTGCCCTTCTGCCACGAAGGCCCGAGCGGCCCGGAGCTGCCGGCCGGGCCTCGGCTCACGCTGGGTCTACAGGGAGCGGTGAAGGCCTTGCCTCGTGGAATCGAGCCCCTGTGTGCCTCACCTCCCCACCCCTCCCCGTGACAGCCAGAGCCGCCCCGCACGCAGCCCAGAGAAACGAGGCTTTGTGGAGCTTCGTCACGAAGCACAGGGCTCCCGTGTCCAGGACAACACGTATGAGACAATTCAGAACGCCGTCTGAGCCGCCCGAGGCTCGCGTACTGGCGAGGTACACGTTCCACAGAAGAAACGGAGTCAGAAACTGTGACAGACGCAAGAGAATTCCTTGGGGAATTCCTTGGTCACCACTCAGAAGAGCAGGAGATGGGGGAGCGCTGGGAAAATTCCTCCACGGCACCCAGCACCTCAATTCAACCTGCCCAGTGGGCACAACTGCTGCTGTCTTTAGGACAGGTTTTTTTTTTTTTTTGGTTGTTGTTGGTTGTGGGGCTTGAACTCTGGGCCTGGGCGCTGTCCCTGTGCTCTTCAGCTCAAGGCGAGCGCTCTACCACTTGAGCCACAGCGCCACTTCTGGTTTTCTGGTGGTTCATGGGAGGTAAGAGTCTCACGGGGCTGGGAAGGTGGCTCAGTGGTAGAGCGCTTGCCTTGCATGCCTGAGGCCCTGGGTTCGATTCCTCAGCACCACATAAGCAGAAAGAAAAAAAGCCGGAAGTGGTGCTGTGGCTCAGGTGGTAGAGCACTAGCCTTGAGCTGAAGAGCTGAGGGACAGCGCCCAGGCCAAGTTTAGGCCCCACGACCGGACCCCCCCCCCAAAAAAAAAAAGTAGACAGTGGAACAAGAGAGGTTTTGAAACCCATGACCAAAAAAAAAAGTCTCACGGCCTTTCCTGCCCAGGCTGGCTTTGAACCACGATCCTCAGATCTCAGCCTCCTGAGTAGCTAGGATGACAGGCGGGAGCCACCAGTGTCCAGCTAGGACAGTTCTTAAAACTAGCTTTCCTACAGGGTGGGCTTAAAAAAAATTAGTTTATTGAAAAAAAGCTTTTCAAACCTAACAGCCAAGGTTATATGATGAATAAATACCTTTGCGTTTCTCCCAAGGGTTTGCCTGTAAATGCATTCAGAACCTAAAATTTAATGAAGACCCACAATGTGGGGTAAGCGTCCCTGGTAGGGACGGTTCTGGGGCTAGATTACCACACACTTGCTGCAGTGTGATATTCTGAATTTGGTATCGGGCATTTATCCAAGGCCAGTTCACCCCGGATTGTGTTTTTAATAGGGAACGCTGACAGAAGCATGAAATCTTGGCGGGCACGGATGTGTGGCAGGCCGCAGACCCGCCGGCCTACGCTTGCTCACTGTGTCCGCACACTGGTGTTCCCCGGCACACTGGGCTCCTCACACCCACCGAGGTGAGCTTCCTTTCCAATAGCTGCACACGAGACAGGTGCTCACACCCAGACACTTGCGGTCCATGGCGGGCCCTGGGGGTCTCGTGTGTGGATGGGGGGGTTGCTGGTGACAAGGGCTTTGGGGGTGGTTATGACTGTGGCTGGGGACAGGCCTGGCCTGCAGGGGAGGGGGCGGGGGGAGGACGTCTGGGCAGGAGGTCCCGGCGGTGGCTTGTAAGGGGAGCTTGGTTCTCTCTCTGTGCTGTCTCACGTCTTCGGGGCAGTACTAAGACCCTAACAATCATGGGGAGCTCGGAGCTGCATCTGGTTTAAGGAAAAACACCACTGCCTTCTTATGAGCAGCAATGAGGAGCAACTCCTCTACCACGTACACACGTGTGTGCGCTTCTGCCTTAGGTACCGGAGAACCGGCTTCTCCGCTGCTTCTCGGAAAAGAAAAAGCGCAAGCAGTGGTGTAATTACATCTCAGAGCCAGCTGGTTGGATGGACAGACAGGTGGAAGGTAGGAGAAGAAAGCCTTGAGATTCTGCATGTGTGGTGCCAAGGGGCTTAGCAATGAGCTCCGTCTGTCCATCCGTCAGATGAGTTCTAGCCTTGCAACTTTCTTGTCCTGTGCTAGTTTGGCCCCAGGGAGACAAAGAGCTGGGGTTTGTCTGGTTTCCCAGGGTCGCCTGGGTGGATTTCACTCTGTGTTTCTTTGTGCAGGAGCGGCACATCTGCCTGATCCCAGACCTGAGACCCACAGGGTAAGAATACTTACAGTGAAGACATCTCCACCTGGGGGAGGGGAGGGAAAGTCCTGCGTTTCCAAATTATCCTGACTCTTACGAGACACAGATACCTACTTCAAACGCCTATGGGAGTTGGGTAACAATGGAACAGCGACCGGGAGGGGAACGCTGCCATTTCAGGATGATCATGGAACGCAAAAATCTACAGGGAACATGCGGCGCGCACACAACCCCGAATTTCTGACTGGGGATGCGCCGAGTCTCCGATTACTAAGACAATAATTGCGTTCTAATCCATACAGACATTTGATGTATGTGGGGAAAAAAATCTAGGTAGCTCACGCCATTTAATCTTTCAAGATTTTACCACGCACACAAGCTACACATCTTAGAACGGACGGACAATGAGAGGTAAATAAATTGGGACACGCCATTTTAATCGAAACGACTGATACTGAATACAGAAACAAGACATCTTGGTTAAGAAATGAGTAGTCTACTCATGAATTTTAATCGAAGAGCAGCTAAAATTCTCCTTCAGTATTTCACTGAGAGAATTACTGCGTACACAACAACAACAACACAACTAAGTGTTGGCATCGGCAGCCAGCCACAAAGCAAGCAAGATAAACACGGAGCCGGTACTTACTGGTGAATAGCTTGCAAGAATTTCCGCTGATGTTTCCTCACTTTCGCGTGGTCTATCTTCTTCACCAGCTTCGTGTTTTTGTAGATGAGCCATGTTTCCCTGAGCACGTTGGCAGCTGCGTTTTTTACCTGTTCGGAAAACAAATGGGGGAGAAGCCGGCGGTGAATTTCACGGCGGAATCCTCGGCCGCTCGCCGGGGAGGCCCCCCCTCCTCCACCGGGGACAGCGGCAACCGGACGGTGCGGGGCGGAGCCACCGGGGGCCTTGGATTTGCGCCCTTTGAGAAGTAGCTGTAGCTGCTGTGGAGCCATCCGGAGACAGAAAGATTAGGGAGGTACCGCCGTCTATACACCTCTCTCTCTTCTCTCTCTCTCTCTGCCTTCCTTTCTCAACTCTTCTTTTCCTGCATCCCGAGCAGCTGGGCGCCCACCCTCTGTGGTGACTGTCCTCTAAGTCTTGCTTTCTTGATGAAAGGCTTCAAAATATCTTGGAAGCCGATAACAAACTTAGCCAGCCCAGATTATGATTATTATTATTTTGGTAGTCTTCCTTACGCTACGGGAGCTGATAATCTAGAACTTTCTAGAAAGTTCTAAAAGATGGGCGCATCAAGTGAGGTTCAAGCCACGGGGGCCCGGTCCCTCCTTGGGGTGACCGGCCGACCTGGTGGGAATTCAGCTTCCCGCACAATGATCACCTGGCCCGTCCCGCAACGCCCGAGGCCCACGGGACGGAAGCGTCCCTGAGGTCATCTTGAGCGATGGCACCGTGCGTGTGTATTTCCTCTGCGCTTGTAACGGGCATCAGCCTTGGTGACTGACGGTGCCGAGATTTCTTCTTGGGGGGGGAGGGGGAACTAACTTCACTGCTACTTTTCAATATGAAAGGGAAAAATAACATGTCCCCGAATTAAAACCAAACAAGCAGCCAACTAGCAAACATACACTTCCTCCATTACTCGTCTGTCTCTGTCTGTCCTGGTCCTTGAACTCAGGGCCTGGGCGCTGTCCCTCAGCTCTTCAGCTCAAGGCGAGCGCTCTACCACTTGAGCCACAGTGCCTCTTCTGGTTTTTTGCTGGTTCACTGGAGGGAAGAGTCTCATGGACCTTCTTGCCTGGGCTGGCTTCGAACCCCCAATCCTCAGACCTCCGTGTAGCTCGGGTGACTGGTGCCCGGCTTCAGCTACGTTCCTCCTGGCAGGTCTCTCCTTTCTTGGGTGGGAAGGACAGACGGAGGACGGCGACAGGCTGGGACGCTCACTGCCGCAGTCCGGTGTAAGCCACGGTGAATCGGTGCACGAAAGCGCCCGGAGACTTGCAGAGAAATGGAGCGAAAGCCAGGTCCGGACACTCGCCGTCGCTCGGGGCGAGAGGAAAGCCGACCCGGAGGGAATGGACCATGTGGTTTCTCAGGTCAGGAGCGTGCGGCGGCCTTTGCGCAGGTCTGGAGACCTCGGTCTGGGCTCTGGATGGCTGCGTGCACGTCCGCCGGTGAGTTTCTCAGGCCTCGCTGAGCTCTGCGGACGGCTGTGAGTGGATCGACACCTTCTCTACAACGCACCACGCAGGCCGCTGCGCACACTGGAGGAAATGGAGTCTCTCCCGTCAGCCAGGGGCCTGACCGGCCACGGATGTGACTGAATTCCTGGCCATTTTTGAAATAAAGCCTCGCTTCCGGCCTTGGCACACCCCCACTTCTGTGGGGTACCCCCGTCCTGGTCAGGACAACAGGTGGCAATGCGGAGAAGGGGCCTCATGAGCTTTTCTGCTTGAGCTGGCCTCCAATCACGATCCTCACCTCTCAGCCTCCCACGTCGCTAGGGCTACAGGGGTGGGGCCACTCACTGGCTTGTGATGTTATTATAGTCCTTACTGATTCACAATTCTACATGTAATTGTGAAGAACTTATATTTACTCTGAAAAGGCTAAAATCTGAGGGTTTGAAGCCGGCTGAGGTAAGAAGGTCTATGAGACTCTTTCCTCCAACTAACCGCCAAAAAGCTGGAAATGGAGCTGTGGCTCACATGGTAAGAGCATCAGCCGTGAGCGAAAACAGGCCAACAAGTAGCAACCAGGCCCTGAGTTCGAGCCCCCCGGGCTGGCACATACACACGCAAAGAATTCACGCAGTATCGTCTGTCAATTTGGAAATCTTGAACAGAATCGGGTCAGGATCCTCGGAACGTCTTGCGTTTGTTTGTTTCTTCTCAACAGCAAGGCATCTCTGCGGCCCAAACTCCACGCTCTCTTCGGTGTTCAATCCCAGATGGGCAGCGGTCCGGCCTTCCCCAGGCCCCAGATACCCGGCGACAGGACAGAGCGTCCGTCTGCGCGGGGCTACGCCCGCCCCTCGGCCAGCTGTGGGGACTTTTGTGTTTGCTTTCTGCTTTTGTTGGCACTCTTCCACCTGGGCACTGGGGGCAGCTCTGAGCTGCAGAGTCTCAACACATTTTCCATCTCCCTCAACGCTGAACACGACAAATCTGTTTCCCTTTCCCACACGGGGAAACCATGTCTGTGTAAAATTGTTTCCCCTGGAAATTTGTGCATGGTGAGTGATTTTTTTTTTTCATGGTGATTTTTCAATTCAGGAAGGCTCGAAAAGTTAAACCTGGTCTTGGGAAATAACCCACTGTTTCAATATTTATCACTGTTATTTATTTTCTTACAGAGTTATATTCCAATTTCAGAACATCTATGGCCATTAACCTGTTCGCCACTGGGGGGGAAAATATTTCTTCTACATGGTATTTCAGGGAATCATCATTTTTTTCTTTTCAGCAGGGTTTAAACTTAGGTCCTTGAGATCGGTAGGCGGGTGCTCTACTGTTTGAACCAGGCCTCCAGCTCTTTTTGACTTTGCTATTTCTCTAATAGGGTCATCGTCCTGTTCTCCAGGGCTGGCTGGGACCGCAATCCTCAGCGCCTGAGCAGCTGGGCTGTGAGGCGGAGCCCCTGGTGAGTAGCTGCAGTTTTTCGATCTCTTAATGGTTACATGTGGCTTTTGGGACGTTTCTTTTTTGTTGTCGGTGGTGCTTTGGTGGGGATCGAACCCAGAGCCTTGGGCACGCTGGGCAAAGAGCTGTAGCACTGAGTTACAACCCCAGCTTGATGTGACAGCCACAAGGCGCGGCGGCCTCTGTCGCCCAACGCCTCCCGGCCGGCCGCAGTTCAGGCAGAAAGGCCTGATCTACCTGGGAAGCCCCCCGCCCCCCCCAGTTTAGCAAGCACGCCCCGCCTTCCCGGCCGCGCACCCCGAGACGGCGTAGATGGCGGGGGCCGCTGGGGCGGCCGGCCGGTCACTCACCCTCTTGGTCAGCTGGGTGTCCATCATGAAGTTGTGCACGTGTTTCTCCGCTTTGGTGAGTTCTAGTTTTCGCGCCACAACAGCTACCACCAGGGCTGTGCAGCCCGCACCCTGGAGACAAGGAGGGCCAAAGCAGCGTTATTATTATTGTTGTTGTTGTTGTTTGGATACTGGCGCTTGAATTTAGCTTTTGTGCTCAAGGCTGGCGCTCCACCACCTCCGGGTTTTCTGGTGATTCAATGGAGATCAGAGTCTCATGGGGTTTCCTGCTCGGGCTGGCTTTGAACCGCGATCCTGCCCGCGCCAGGACGGGTAGAGCGCCCGCCTTGAGCTGAAGAACTGAGGGACAGCGCCCAGGCCCCTCTGGGATTTCCTCCAAGACCAGCAGAGAGGGCTGTGCACCGCCCCCCCCCGCCCTTCCGGGGAACGACGGCGGAGTTTGGGGACCACCAAACCTATGGTGGCTTTCTTGCGCTCCAGCGGGGGGAGGAAGCAAGCGAGGATGGCTTGAGGCTTGTCCGCGGTGGTAATCATCCCCGGGGTCAAATCTCCCTTTTGGAAATGGCACCAGCGGGAGCCCCGGTGTTGTGCGGACAGACAGGCGGCGGCCTGAAGGATCTACGCCGGGCACGGGCCGCTCCCCTGCCGTCCCAGCTACTCGAGGGGCTGAGGAGTGCGGGCGCCGGTGGAAGCCAGCCTGGGCGGGCAAGTCGCTGTGGCTGTGGACTCTCCCGTCCAATCAGCCACCAAAGAGCCCGAAGCAGAGCTGTGGCTCACGTGGTAGAGCCGCCAGCGTTTGAGGGATGGAGCTAAGGGACGTGTAGTCACGCGGGTCCGGGGTGGGCGTGGGGGGGGGTTTCTACCTCAAGTAGAGAGGTTCTGGGCTTAGCTCTCTCTATGGTTCATTCTCTTCCTGTCCAACAGCTCCTTGCTCTGTGGAAGACCTTGGTGGAGTTAAAGAGCAGCGCGCTGACCCCGGGGACCCGACCTCTGTGTTCCTAACCCTTGCGAGTAAAGACAGAGCAACGAGTCTCGGAGAGCCATCACATCCGGACTCAACCCTCGGCCACGCGGAGGCTGCTGAGCCTCTCATCCAACAGCCTCCAGGAGGAGGCCGGACGGGGATGAAGCCTTTCCACTGGCTTGTCTTCACTCAATTACTCCTCGGGCCGAAGCAACTAAACACCACCCCATGCGTGGAGGGGCGCCTCTTCTGTGGTTCTGCCGAAATCTGAATTATTCAAGAGCCACTTAGTGGCGAATAACCTTCCTTAGACAGAGATCGCTCTGTACTTAAAGATAATTCCACCCCCGATCTCCATCCTCGCTCCAGAGTCCAACGTGGAACCGGTGCTGGTGCTGTGATCTTCTAGGAATAGAAAGGCCTCGGAGTCACCTTCAAGATCAAACCACCCTGGGCAAGTTCCTCTTGAAGAGGTCGGCTCTCTCTCTGGCTCGCTCATTATCTATTTATCCCTCTATATAATCAAGAAGAAAGCTGCAGGGTACCAGCATGTACGTATCTCTAAAATCCAGAGAAAGTGTCTTATGAAGAATGAGCTTGAAGGGCGGCCCCCAAGGTCATCGGCTGGGGACCCCGGGGCGGCGGTCAGTGCCCAGAGGACACCCCCCACCTCCGGCCTCCACGCACCGGGGACAAGGAGAGGTAATTACGGCGTAATGACTTTCTCCGGAGGGCAGGGAGCGTCTGTCTGCGCCAGCCTTTCCTGGGCTTTGTGGAGGAGAGTCTCCAGGAGGGGAGGAGAGGCGCGTGCACTGCTCTGAGGCTGTGGTTCTGATGTGAATCGGCACTGGACAGAAGGGTCTCCCTGACTGCCTGTTGTGCCACACATAGTTTTGGGGTGCTGGGGGTCAAACCCGGGGTCCTGAGCCAGTAGGCCAGACCAGCACTCTTACCACCAAGAGTGTCCTTGGCATTTAATTATTTAGTCCCTCCCTCTTTGTGCCAGCCCTGGGGCTTGAACTCAGGGCCTGGGCGCCGCCCCTGAGCATCATTTTGCTCAAGCCCAGGGCTCCACCACTTGAGCCACAGCGCCACTTCCACAGCGCCACTTCCAACTTCTTTTGGTGGTTTATTGGAGATAAGAGTCTCAGGGACTTTCCTGCCCAGGCTGGCTTTGAACCGAGATCCTCCGATCTCAGCCTCCGCGCAGCCAGGCACCCTGTGCCGTTGAACTTATTAACGGGGCAAGGTGACCTTGTGAGTAACGCCGTTTGTCCGTCTCCCTCCCTCTTCTGATGGTTTCACAGCAGAACTCTGAACTCCGCCCAAGCCGCAGACGCTATTCGCTAAAACCCGGGACCCGCGGCACACAGTCCACCTGCTTGATGGAGACTTCTAGAATGACGGTGCGTTCCAGGCGGTTGAAGAGGGAGAGCGATGGCGTTTTACTCCGCGCTCCGAGCGCCGATGGCTGCAATGACCCCTGACCGCGTGCCCACCCCCACCTCACCAGCCTGTGCACTGGAGCGATGGAGCCCCGCCCCGCGACACCACAGTGCGCCCAGGCCTCACACAGCCACGTGGATGAGAGACTGAGAGGGAGATGGGGGAGGGGAGGGGAATGGAGGAGGAGAGAGGGACAGGGAGAGGAAAGGGAGGGGAGGAAGGGGGGGAGGACCATGGCTCCCATTTTCCCTCTCTTCCTCTCTGTCCTTCTCCCGCTCCCCTCTGTCCTGTCGCTCTCCTCTCCCTCCTTCTCTATCCCATCTCTTCCTCCTCTCCCCTCCCCCTCCCTCCTCTTCCCCCAATTCCCCCTTCCTCCTCTTACCTCCTTCCTCCTCTCCCCTCCTTTCTCCTCTTCCCCACTTCCCCTTCCTCCTCTCCTCCCTTCCTCCTCTTCCCTCTCCCCCTCTCTCCCCATTCCCTGTCTCCCCCTGCCCTTCTCCCCTCCTCCCCCTCTTCCCTCCTCTCCCCCTTCCCCCTCTCCCCTCCTTCCCCCTCTCCCCCTCTTTCCCCTTCCTCCTCTTCCCTCCTCTCCCCTCTTCTTCCTCTTCCCCTCTTCCTTCCTCTCCCCCTTCCCTGTCTCCCCTCTTCCTCCTCTCCTTCCTCCTCTCCCCACCTGCCTCCTCTCTCCTCCTTCCTCCTCTCCCCCCTCCTCCTCCCTTCCCTTCTCCCCTCCTCCCCCTCTTTCCCCTTCCTCTTCCCTCCTCTCCTCTCCCCCTTCCTCCTCCCCCCTCCTCCTCTCCCCTTCCTCCTCTTCCCTCCTCTCCCCCTTCCTCCTCTCTTTCTCTGGCTCTCCCATTCTCCCTCTCTCACAATCTCTCCTTTCCTCTCTCCCATCCTTCCTCTCCCTTGGGAGAGAGGAAGAGTGAGGGACTGAGAGGGAGAGGGAATGGGAGACAGGGAGAGAGGAGCCAGGGGAGGGGCAGAGAGCGAAGGAGTGCGGGAGAACGGGAACAAGATGGGAGAGAGCAAGAGGGAGACAAAAGGAGAGGAGGAAAAAGAAGAGAGGAGGGAGACCGGAGGAGGCAGAGGAGAGGCGGGGACGAAGGGGGGTGTGTGTGGAGGAACATGAGGGGGGAGGGAGGAAGGGGCTGGGCGGCTTTGGCGGTGGGGTGGTTGGGTTTGAGGTGCTGGAATAAACTAAGTGAAACTCCTGTCTGAAGTGTGTGGCTTCTGATGCGCAAACGCCTCACAAAGGGAGGGGTGGGGGGAAGGGAGGGAGGGGTGGAGAGGAGAGAG